AAGAACAACCTAAGCAAAGAACCAGAAACCCAGAAAGACAAGAACCAAAACCAGTGATAACCCTACCATACATCAGAGGCATAACAGAAAAAATAAGAGCAACAATGAAAAAACACAACATAAACACACCAACAAAACCATACACAACAGTTAGAAACAGACTAGTGCACCCAAAAGACAAAATATCAGCTGGACATAAATGTGGGGTCGTTTACAAAATCCCATGCTAACTCTGCAATAAAACATACGTAGGAGAAACCAGATGCCAACTCAACACACAAACAATAGAACATAGAAAGGAGTGTGAGAAAGAAACAAGTCGAAGACTTACAAGAGCAGCTAAAGAAGAAGCAGAAAGCACAATAAAGAAGTCAGCTGTAACAGACCACTGCACAAGAGAAAACCATATAATGGACTGGGACGACACAAGGATCATAAACACCGAACAACAGAAATACAAAAGATGGACAAAGGAAGCTATCGAGATAAGGAGACGTGGATGTGGGACCATGAACAGAGACGATGGAGTTTACACGTTGGATTGCGCATGGGACTGCATCATCGGAGAGGGAAGAGCGGGCAGCAGAGGGCGGTAACGTGCTCTGCTGCCCTTGGATAAACGGAGTAGGAAGTGACGCCACCATCAGCGTCAGCTCTGAAGATGTTTGCAGCTGCAAACAAAACCGTCAGCAAGGTAAAGAAAAACCTCATCTATGTTTAAAAAAAGAAACAAAAATGGAATTCCCAGTAAATCTGCAGGTTCTGAAAAGCTCAGACCAGCCTGTCTGACCCCAGGAGCTATTCTATGTTCAAATTCCCTTTAATTCCTGCTCTTCTCCGCTCTAATGGTCCATTTGAACCTCAGCAAGTCATTCACTCCATCTAGAGCCACTGATTTAATGTATTTGGACAAGTGTACTTGATGAGTTTGTGGTTGCAGATTTAATGTCTCTTTGGTCATTCATCACATCTTTGTCATGTTGAACAGAACGATTTGTGCATGTAGGTTAAATCTTGTTCCTGACTTGTTGTTTTACAAACTCTCCAGGTCTCACAGGGTCAAGCTGGCCACGTCTCCTGGTTCCACCGTGCAAAGAGGCCCCTCCTCCCACACAGTAGGCAGCTTGTGTGTGTGATTAAACGTGTGGGCCCCATAACTCTTCCTCTATTTTTATCACTCCCTCTTTGTGCATGGGTCACCGTCTCCCGTGAGAGACTCGGCACCCCGTTAACAGTCTGACAGGTAGCCGAGTGTTCTCGTTAGTCACTCATACCGTCAAACAGATGTAAAAACACGAGCACGGCTGCTGATGCATGCTATAAGCTCTGCGTGTGTCACTGAGCTTGTACATTTGTCTAGTCGTTTACCGGCGCCCGAGTGTAACAGAGGTCTCTACAGACACACACAAGTAAAAGCTGATTGTGATCGTCATGTGTGCTAAAGGTGCACAACCTCTGCATCAGTTGAGAAGAAGATTTTAGGAGCTCAAACGTTGCCTGAGAGGAACTGTTTCACTAGTGTGACAAGCCATGACCCATAGAGCTCCGGACGTCACGTGACTCTCAGAGAGTAGACGCCATGTTGGCAGGCAACTATGGTAAACAAAATGAACGGGTTCGGCTTGGATTTTACTCCGCTGGAGTTTCCTTCTCACTTTAAAACCGAAGAAATCGTTTTATATAGCCAGAAATTAAATAGACTAAACATCTCCGACCCTTACCGTGCCCCTGGGATACTTTTTAAAAACTCCAGAAGCTGTCGGAGAGGACCTCTTATTGGATTTGAGATGCCCTGACATTTATAATTTATAAAACTAATAAACAAAAACACAAATAACATAGATTTACATGTAAGTAGTTTAAATAGAGTGCTGTGCTGTATAAACTGAACGCCAGGAGAAATCACTAATCTGATTTTGTCCGTGAATAAAATAAATATGTCAGGCAGGAGTGTCTCAGGATCTGTCTTGACATCTGTCTCGGTGAGACAGATAATAGCAATGCAAAGTGCTTTTTATGTGTGATCTGACAATTGATCAACCATTGCTTAAAAATGAAATACAGCTTAGCCGGTTAATTGCTGTGATCATAAGACACGTAAACGGCAGCATGCAGAACTCACGAGGCCACGTTTTACGTGATGTTTACTTGTTGTTATGAGTAATAAGACAGAAAAAGCCACGCCAAAATAAGTTTAGGAAGCCCACTAAGAATCATAATAAAAGCATTTAAAACAAATTCCATACACAGTTGAGGAAATGTTGGTTTAAGTACCTATGAAGTGGTCGCTGCATAAGCGAAAACCACTCTCGGAATCCCACAGCTTCATTTTAGCCCGGTCACTAGCGCGTTTTATTGCAACGATCCAACGTTTGAGGCGTTCCGGATCTTGGGGAATCCTGTAGACGGCTCATCCCTTATCTTGTCTGCGTCTGTTCTGGCATCTTGGGGCACAACAAGAATCTACCATATTTCCCGATTGAGTTTTCTGACAATAACAAATAGTCCAGCTGCGGGCTACTGCCTGCCAAGATGGCGCCATTCGATTTGAACTGTTGCATGCCGGGAGAAGTGACGTCAACTCCCGGAGCTCTATAGGGAAAGTTCAGTCCAGGGGTGGAATCTATCTTTGTCTTTCAAATTGTCTCCACATGCTGTTTGACAACAAACAACGTGACATTCTCACCGCTACGGATATCAGTCCACCATACACAGGCAAAGAAGATGTAAATACGTCCTTTTTTTTAGATAAAGGACTTAAGTTCCTCTTTCTGCTCTTGACTCAAAGAAAAGCTCAAGTCTAAATAGACCAAAGTTGATGTCAAAACCATTTCAAACGAGCCACCACCATCTTAGTTGTACTGCTTCATTCCACCCATCAAACAGATAAGAGAGCGCTGATTGGCACACCACCAGTTTGGTCAGTGCTGCTGAGGTTCCAGTGGTGTGTGTTTGGACCTCCATGCAGAGTAAAATCACTTTGCTCCTGCTACTGGCAGGTACTCTAGTTTGTACAATATTTACAATTGAAACACGCCCAACTCCAGAGAAAATGTAGCATTTACATTAATTAAAAAATGAATTTTAAGTGAAATAAACTTTATTATTTTGCAGGCAGGATACGTTTTCTCATTTATTTTGTGTCTACATGTTCATATGAGGATAAAAGGGATGGGTTCTTACAGTTTAATGGTGGGATGGTTCAGCAGGTTTGACTGAAAAAAGAGCATTAAAAACTAAAACTTTTTGCTTTTTTTGCTCTTAGAATGTTTGAAATAGCTGTGAAGGTGTGCACTCAGCATCAGCAGTATTGAGGATAACTTCGGTTTGATGATCAAATAAAAGGTTTATGCACAAAAATGTCTTTTTCTCATGCAATTAGACATCAATTAACTTTTATTTGCACGGCAAACCACCACATCTGAACGCCTATGACAGTTGCTGCAGCTAAACGAGTTGTAAAACGACCAAACTGCGCAGAGACAGGAATTTATTGGTGGATGAAGCGAAATGTTTGGGTTTGTGGTAAAAACCAACCTGACTTCTCTTTTTTTTCTCACCTGAACAAAACCTCTACTTGTTCTTTGGGTTTGTGCGTGTAAAATATAGGCAGCAGGGGAGATGTTTAGGTTTGTGCACCATGTTGTCATGGATACTGTAAACATATTGTTGAAGTGGGTTACTCAAAGACCCACAAAGATTATTGAGGACACTCCGTTTCCTGGGGCATGGTGGGAAATGTAGTCTGGATGAGCTGTCGGGGCTCCTCTTCTCCCCCTGGATTTGTGTCGTATGTTTTGTGTGCTTGCCTCAAGGACCACGCTTATTTGGCTGTTACCATTCATGTTGGACCAAGAGCCTCATTAAACAGCACTGTATCATTTATTAGTTTGGCAAAGTGGTCGGATTATTATTGCTGTCTTTGATGTTCATAGAGGATTTGCAAGTTGAATTAAATATCAAAACATTTCCTAAAACATGTATTAGGTATTTGGTTTTATTCTGAGTGTTTAATTGATTTATTTAGTGTCAAGAGAGCAAAACCGCCATAAAAATTCACATCTTATGTAAATCATTATGAAAAAGAAAAGCCGTCTTATTTTCCTTTTCATGCAGCTATCCGCTACTGTCAATGAATTACAGCCACACAAAACAAGTGTGTACTGCCTGCGTCTAGGCAACTGTGTAGTTTGTGTTGTGGAAGTGTCCAGCTCCACTTTTCTTTCTGCAACTTAACAAAAATCCTTAAGCTTCCTTCTCTGGTGAGTGAAACATGAGGTTTCATAAGCCTTTGATCGTGGGTCCTGAGAAAGGTGGTGCGTGTCTGCCCGGGTGAATCTGCTCAGTCGGGTATTTTGTTTCAGAGCACTTCCGCTGGGGTGAAGGGGGGGGTAACTGTAACTCATTTGAGACCACCTAAGAAAACTTCCAGGATCCATTCAGAAAAACTGTCTCCTTCATGCTCTGCTGAAGGGGCTGCCCGTGACATCATTCACGCTCCCCCGCTGTCTCTCTGACCTCATCGCCGTGTAAGCTGCATGCTGTTCCTCTTCCTGATATTTCCATGGCACCCTGTCTACAAAAGACTCAGTCCATGCCAGTGCTTTGGGAAGCTCTTTCCACACCTGCTATGGTTCGCCTCCAACTTCTGGAACCTTGAGGCTACACACACACGGTCCCTTTGTTGCATTTCCTCTTTTCAGGCTACCTTGGCTCTCGCTGACAGATCATTGTGTGCTATACTGACATGCTTTTTGTCTACAGAGTCTCCTGACTCAACCTCAGGACCACCTTGAATAACAAATACCTCCACAGAGGGGCCACAGACTGCACACTGCTTGATTTATGTTGTTTTCCTCTAAGGAGCTGTGCTTGAGCATTAAAGAGAGTCTGAGTAGACCCTGGCACATGCCTGAGTGTGTGTGTGTGTGTGTGTGTGTGCATGTGTGTGTTTATTATGCATTTATATTCATTGTTGTTCTGTCTGTTTATTTTTGCAGACACTACCCCAAGACAAACTTCACCTGTGTGGCTGATACTCCAGAAAACCTCCGCCTCAAACAGCAGAGCAAGATGCAAAGCCAGGTAACTACTGAAAGGAATATCTGTTAACCAGACTCCAACAGCTGTCCTCTCTTCTGTCCTCATCCGATTCCACTTGAACCTGTGTGTGTTTACACATGACAGTATTCACTCATGCATTCGGAGAAACCATCTGTTTTTGGGTCCTGGTTACACACCTCTATTATGCAAATAAACACCTTTTCACACAGAGTGCGTTTACATGCAGCCAGTAACCCTTTTAAAACCCGAATATTCACAATAACCTGGTTCCGCAGGTCCATGTAAACACCGCCAAAACCCCGGATATGCTCATAACCGGGTTTGTAAAAACCCGGTTACTACACCTGGGGTAACCCTTTTCTAACCTGAATGTTTGGTCGTGTAAACGCATATCGGGATATCCCCATCAAAGCGTGTGTTCTGCGCATGCTCTGTTCGCAAGGAATCTTGGTCTTCTGAGTAGCGAGACGTCTTGTATGCGCCAGAACACCGGAAGTAAACAACAAGTTGGGGGCAACGTGGCGAGTCGCGGCACAGCACCACACTTTGAGTGACGAGGAAACTAAAGCGCAAACAAACGCGGTCGCTGTCTCTTCCGAACTGGGAAACATGTTGTTGTTTTCACGGATACCAGAACAAGAAGAACCGGAAATGACGCACATTGCGTCTGGATGTAGTCCATACGTCCTGACGCTACCCCAACGTTCGCATTTAAATCGGGGTATGCAAGTTAGGGGTAACTCTTTCTATTTATGCTTGTAAACGGGTTATTCTGATCAACTCAGAAACCCGAATCCCGACCTTAACCCGATCATGACCCGGATTTTGGCTGCATGTAAACGTAGTCACAGTCATCTTAGCAACAAACGGTACATAAGCAGCTAAACTCACTTAACCATTTCCTAAAACTTTAATCCCTTCAGCTTTTATAGTGAGAAACAAAAAATGCATGGTTCTCTTAAAGAGCAAGTCACCCCCAAACCAGAGTATTTCTCCACCCACATTTCCTGTTTAAAAAAAATGCACCAAAAGGTGGTATTGCCTGGTGGACCAAGAGGTGTGGCTGTGGCAGTGACTGACGGCAAACCCAACCCCACTCAGAGGTTCTTTGTCAGAGAATTGAGCTGCTAACACACACGCCCCTCTTGCAAAGCGAAACATTAGCCGGCTTCCTAGTGAGGGGGATTTCTTCACCAGAGCAAAGAGAGGAAAAGGGAAGGGAGGAAGGATTTTTGGAAGAGGCGAGCAGCTCAGCGCGATATCGTTTTGTATAAACTCGTGGGTGGACAAGCCAGCCAGAAGTGTGTTTGAGGCTTAGCTGCAGTACAGAGCAGCCATGTCAAAATGACTGGCTAATGCAGATAACACCAACTTGGCCGATAGCAATGGCTGATTAAACGTCAATGTAGTGCAGACGTTTAACCTGGAGATGGTGCCATACTGATTGTTCGCAGCAGAGTGTGAATTAGCAGAGCTGAAAATCAACTTTTCTAAATCCGAGACCACCGAGACCATGGTCTTTAATCGGAAAAGGGTAGAATGCCTTCTCCAGGTCAGGGATGAGGTTCTGCCCCAAGTGGAGTTCATTAGTAAGGGAAAGCTGGATCTTGAGATGGATAGGCGGATTGGTGCCGTGTCTGCAGTGATGCAGGTGTTTTACCGATCTGTGGTGGTGAAGAGAGAGCTGAGGCAACTTAGTCCCTCTGGCTGTTTTAACACGCTCAGAACTTCCAGGCAATCAGAAGTCAGTCAGAAAGTACTTTTCTACTGATGCATTAGAGACATGGATAACATTGGTCATGAATATTTTGGTAAAAAATCAATAATTATAAAATATTAAATGATTTTTATGAAAGACTAAGTTTACTGTTATTAAGCTGTATTAAGTCTTAGATATATTTTGTTTAGCAGCATATTGTCATTTCTTCTTATCCACAGTTGAATGATATTGTTACACACGGAGCCACGGTAACTTCAGCTGTTAAAAAGCTCATTACCCAGCTTGGGTTCAAATAAAAGCTATCATTATTCCTATTGTTCGGTCATTAAATAAAGTATTTCACGTCGTCCTCCACCTTTCATTTAAGATCATGTTATGCTAATGAATGACACAAATACATCTGTTTTGGTAACATTTTGAAAATAGATCTATGCACAATCACAAGCAACAATGCGAAGTGTTGCATGAATCAGTCAACTTTCGCCTGTCTGACCGTTTTATATGTGCTAACAAGCGTAGCTGTGGTGACCATCCTGGACTGGTTTGAATCACAAAGTTATCAATGATGTGTCCTCATCGGGTCATGCAGAGATTGAAACACCCAGTAGACATGGCTGCAGCAAGGTCCTGTTTGTTTACCCCCCCCCCCCCCCCCCCCCACACACACACACACACACACACACACACCCACCCACACACACCCACCCACCCACACACACACACACACACACACACACACACACACACACACACACACACACACACACACACGCGCGCGCGCTTAACCATTACACCTGATTTCCTGGAACAACTTTCTTGTTCAGTGCTGCTGTTTGGGTAAATGTGAGTTTAGTTATTAGTTTCACATATTTTATTGCACATTTTTTGCAAATACTTGCATTTTTTGGATTCATCCTTTTTTTTTACCTGCTTCTGGATTTTTCCATACAGCTCATTGTTTTATTCCATTTAAATGGCTCCACTATTATGTTGAAACGGGTCCATTTAGTAAAACTGTTCCCGTTTCTGCAGGGAAACCCTGCTTATTGACATTCACACAGATGATTGTTGATACTGAACACCCACAGGAACATCTCCGCAGCCCAGTCACAACCCAACCGTGGCAACAGCGCTGGCCTACAGGAGTAGCCCCTCCTCTTCCTCGACGTTACATCAGTACAAACCTGCCTTATAATGGCTCGAAAACATGAAGGCCTGCAAAATTCCCAGCAACATGTAGGACTAGTTGGCCTGGAATTATTTTACATGATCACTAAATGTTAAAATGACACATTCCAACACATTCTACTCTTAAGCTAACAAAAGTAAGGTCTACTTTCACAGTCGAACAGAACATTATACGACACAAATGTTATTCAGATTTGTGCTCACCTTCAGACCTTTCATCATGATTATATGTTTTTAGGCTGTATTTAAATAAAAAAAGTATTTTGAACCAGAGGAGTTGTAAAAAAAAGTATTAATTATAATGTCAATCCATTTTGACGCTTGTAGTTTGTGCTGCTTGTGTGGTTTCACTTCTCCCAGTCAGCCTGCCGGGTCCTGGGTGTGGTCACTGGTGTTCAAGGAATTTCTATGCGAGTGGCATCAGTACAGTATGGCACAATAGGCCTAAATTGCTACAGATGTCATTTCAACACAGTTGCAGACATGTTTCTGTATTCAGGAGCTGCAGGAAGAGGAGACATTAGTGTGTTAAACACAGGAGGCATCCGTGGAGAGAAGCTGGTTTTTCTCAGCATGTAGCACAGAAAAGAAAGTGTTGTGCAGACAGGAGGCCGGGCTTATCAAAGCGTCGTCTAATCCTAGTGTCGTTGTCAAATGTGGTGTGTGTGTGTGTGCGTGTGTGGTGTGTGAGAAGAGGTTTTGTGAAGTGGGGTTAGTGGTTATGTGGGGAGGGGGGTAACTGAGAGATGGAGGACAGATGGTGTTTTTCTGCGTGGATTGAACGTCTAAAGAACCCCCACAACAACCCAGCTGATGGTCAGGTTTTAATGGTTTAGTAGTCCCCAGATATAATGTTGTTTTTGTGTCCCGCTGTGGGAGGAAATGTGAAATGTTCATTCTGGTTTAGATGCTGCGTCCGAGAGGAAACTGGTCAAGTTATGAAAGCTTTTTACTAAATGGTTGTTTTTATAGTTTAGAGAAAAAGATTCCCAGCAAATAACGGATTCATGCAGGAACATGAATTTAGAAACACCAGCTGTCGTTAATGAAAGTGATGCTTGTCTTGAATAACTTCCTGCTTGCTGTAGAGTTTCTGATGCGGTTAAACTGACAGTTTATGTTTCAGTTAAGAAAAAGCTGCACCATGTGTTTTTGATGTGAGACTTTTTTGGCTAGCTGTTTCCTAAATAGCCGTCATCTCCCATCACCACCATCACTGCTGCTATGTTGCTACGGGAACCCTATTCCTATGGCCGCAAGGTAGAGGTTTGTCACAACTCATTGTGAGACTTTGCAGGGAGAAACCAGAAGCATGACACAGGCAGAAGGAGACCATGGGGCTTTTGGCCGTGCGAGCGGACGAACAGATTAGTCGCCTTTTTTATGAGAACGGTGAGAGACAGCCGGCTGATCGACAGAGTGGTGAAAACACTGGCTGAGTGGAGCGTCAAGCGGGACAAAAAGCAGGTCACATCAAAGCTAAAGGTCCTGAAAAAGAAATCTCATCAGTCTGACGCTGAATGCGCGACCCTGTACGTCACATGCGGGGGGGGGGGGGGGCGCCCAGCAACTCCATATCCTGTCTTGGTTTAGAGGTGCCTGATGGCACCGTTTATTCTAGAGGAAATGGACTGACTCTGATGGAATGGGCGGGGCTGACTCAGGTGCAGCTCCGCCTTTGTGGTTCTGCAGCGAGCGCCACTTGGTTTATTCTAGCTTCAGCTTTGCTATTATTGACTCTTTGCACTGACGTCACCTAATCACGTGGGTCCACCATGGTGGACGGCAAAAGCATGTAAACAGTGAGCGACAGGAGTAATACACAAAGGGAAAAGTAGAGCCTGAAACTGTTTTTGTGATCAAAACAAAAACAAAACTCCTCCAACTTTCTTCAACTAGTTCATGCCCAGTTCAGTTATCAGAAGAAGTAGCGCATCTAGCGGGGGCTCATAGAGCGGTACGCTAACTAGCTTACCAACGTTAGCTTACTTCTCTCTGCAGCTGTTCACCGATGTAAACATGATGCTGACTTTGCCTAAATTCACCCCTCTGGATTTATAACTTTATGTTATAAACAGCGTTTCACTTTACACCAAAGCTGATTGTTAAAAAGTCCGGATCCCTACCAGCTTCTGTTGCTGGTGGTGTTACCGGGTTCAGCTGCTGCTCTCACACCGGAGTGAGAAGATCTCTGAACGCCGACGCTCATATAAATAAATAACGTCATTTTAACGCACGTAATCGTACATCGGAGCTTTAATATTGTTAATAATTGTCTCGCTTTACACTACAGTGGACGGAGCGCAGCCTCCGTGGTGTAATGCCCATCCATCAGGATTATCAGTAACTAGTATAAACACATCACATTTATCCCTGTCCCGGTCTTCCTCGTGAAATAAATGAACATTAATCTTACCCGGTAAAAACATGTTCGCTGCTAATCTCTGCTTGATTGATCGCTGCAGTTCATCTCCATCCTCAGACTCCATCAAAGTTATTAAAAAACAAAACGAGTTGAGTTTACATGTCTGTTAGTGCAGCCGACCTCGCAGCAAGCTAAAACCATTTTACTGTCAAATCTACTAAATAAAAGAGAGAAAAGGCTACAAACTGGCTTGTTTTGACCACCTTCACCTCCAGTTTATACAGGTGTAAACGGTCTTTTTGCCGTCCATCATGGCGAAGGCATCATGAGTGGTGTGACGTCACGTGCAAAGGGTCAATAAATGCCAACATCCTCCCCAGGGAGCCGCGGCAAATCCCGTTTTAATCAGAATCAGAATCAGAATAGGTTTATTGCCATTGTCAGTGAACAAACAATTCACAAACTAGGAACTTGCTTCGGTACTAACGTGCTACATATAACATGAATAATATAATTAAAAATAGAATAAAGTAGAATAAAATATAATAAACTAGCATAAAACTTTGCTATAAAAATGGCAGTTAATGGTAACATGGCTGATAACGTGACTTTGTGTCGAGTAGAGACGAGCATGGTTGTGTGTTTATAAGCTATTCACAAGTCTAACGGCTGATGGAAAGAAGCTGTTCTTATGGCGGGAGGTTCTGGTCCGGATGGACCGTAACCTCCTGCCTGAGGGAAGCGGTTCAAAAAGTCTGTGACCCGGGTGAGAAGGGTCAGCTGCTATCCGACCAGCACGCCCCCGAGTTCTGGAGACGTACAGGTCCTGGAGAGATGGAAGGCTGCAGCCAATCACCTTCTCACCAGAGCGTTTTTAAAATGCTATGGTCCTATAAAACAGCTAAGGAAACGGGACAGAATGGATTGGGGAAAAAGGAAAGAATGCAATGACACACACACACGCACGCACGCACGCACGCACGCACGCACGCACACACACACACCACACGCGCGGCAGAAAACCAAAGGGAGGAGAGCAGAGTGAAAGAGGAAGAGGTAAATAAAAACAAAATGCCAGGAGAGAGAGAGAGCTGCAGGAATGCAAATAGAAGCCGAAGCGAAGATTATAATGATGATAAAAGCTTCTGCTCTGTGGGACGGCTCTCTGTTGGTGTGAAAGCTGTTAAATATGAATGAATGAAAAAGGAGCTTCAAGAGGAAAGATTGTGGGTGGGGACAGAAAACAGGACTGGGATTGGTGGAGAGGAAGCTGTGGCGTAGACGCTGGGAGACAAAGAAGATGGGCTTGAGAAATGAAGGGGGTGTCTAATGCTGACAGAGGAGCAAGGCTGAAGGTCAAAGAAGAGTCGGAGCATCGTTAATCTTTCTCATCTGTGTTTCTGGGCTGACTGAAGAGCTTTGGGCGATGTTTCAGGGAATCAGATCAGCTGTAGCTGTTTATTTTAAAATCACATCAGGAGTGACAACAGATACGGGTGGATGTGATGGTGTGAATAAAAACACGTGATCTCATCCCATTGTGCAGGAGATGAGCTGATTGGTCAGCGCTGTTGAGGAGTGTTGTGTTGTTGTCTGGTGGGGGTTATGGAGTCTGCTGACACGTCTCAGAGCAGGAGGGCAGCTTGATGTGGGGAGGACAGGTTCAAATACCTGCTGGAGATGGAGGGGGCGGGGCTGTATTGATGGTTTAAAAATAACACCTCGGTGCGTTCCTCTTTCAGCTTTGCAAAATGATGCAACTGTCAAGATTCCTTGCAGGGCAGAGAGAGAGTGAGGGCTCACATGTTGTAATTCTCCTTCTCATCTGTTGTTGCATGGGCTGGACGTTTCCTCGTCTGCCCTCAGGGTCAGAACGGGATGGGTGGAGTGGAAGCACACACACACACACACACCCTGTCACTCACTACCTCTCATTTTGACCATATATGGTTACTACCATGTCCTGTGTCGGAAGGCTTACGCTCATAGTCGAGCAGGAAGTCAGCGTCTCTTCAAAACCTGATTGTATGCTGCCTCAGCCTTACGTTGCACACATTACACACACTCCTATACACGGTGTGTTTCCTATTAAAACAAGGAAACGTCTGCAGTACTTCCTGGTGCCTAGTTAGCAGACGGGTCTGAAATATGTTTGTTGAAGTTAAATGTGAAGAAAAGGGACCAAATATGAGCCAGAACTTTGGGGAAGTCTTCTTTCTAGAGTGCTAAAGACATTAACAGCATTAAATTCAGTGGAAGTGACGCCTTCAGCATTTTTATGTTTGCTGGTTCAATGACATCGAGCTGCAATAAAGCCAGCAGGAAAAAAACAAAACAAGTTTCTTGTGCTGGTAAACATATTTTATTAGGTCAGCTGAACCCAGATCTGAGCCTGAAGCCAAGTCAGGACCAGAAGGCTGTGCGTCACTCCGTCTTCCTGCTGAAATCTTCTATAAGTGTTATTCTGCTCTTGTTTCCTGTACTGCTCTTCTTTGTGTTGCATCTTTTTAAAGGTGTGGCTTGTTTCTGACCTGCTGCTGTTTGCTGTGCAGGTCCACTACAGGGAGGATTTTGAGAAGAACAAAGGAAAAGGTTTCAGCGTGGTTGCAGACACGCCAGAGCTGCAGAGAATTAAGAAAACGCAGGACCAAATCAGCAATGTAAGTTTGTAGAACGTCTGATTTAAGTAGATTCTGTTCTGTTGATAGTTTTATGTCATCCATCTTTTAATGGGATCAACCACGTCGTTTCTAAAATGGGATTCTACATTTTGTTCCTCCCTGATTAAATTATACGTAACAATGAACTGGCCTACATTATCATGGACTTCTCCCTGCCCCTGCTGTTTGTGTCCTGGTAATGTCGTCATATGGCACTGAACGTAGAGGAAGTGGCCCCGGCAGTTCCTAAAACGATGAGCGGCCACCACCAATGTCCAGACTGTAGAGCAGTAAACTTAAACGTGTGGGATCCCCACAAGGGAGGATCTGAGGGCAGACCTCATGGAGCGCTGGGTCCTGGCAGCGTAGTTTAATAGGACATGAGGCCTAATCTGCTTTTTTAGACTCTGTTGTGGTTTGATCCTGTGTGAAGATGTTATATGTAACTGAAAATGTCAGAAATGGTTTGCGTGTTGAAGCAAGACGGTTTTCGTAAAATTCAGCTGAAAGGTTTTTAAACCAGCGGATGTCACGTTAATGCATCTGGTTCCTTTCCTTAAAGCTTCTCTTCCGCTTGAAGACGCCAAACCTGTTTCAGCATCATTGTTTGTTCTCGCTTACTTTGTTGAAGTTCTCCTTAAGTCGCACAGCTCTCCTCCTTTTTTGATCCATCTGCTCCAGATCCATTTCCACCATCTATGAATGCCTTGTGTTTACCTTGTTTCTCTATTTTCTTTACAAAACCCAAAACGCGCCATTACACACATGCAGCTCTGCACCGGACTCACTAATAGTGTAATTACTGTGGAGGGTGATGGATAATTACTGCTTTCATGCAATGAGAGATCTTGCATGTCTAAGATCAAGCGCCTGTGTATACCAGAGAAAAGCATATATTACATGCATTCATGGATGCACACAAACACCAGTTAAAAATATACGAATCGGGCTCCTTGGGAAGTGTTTTTGTATGTCTGCCTGTAATTAGAGCATCATTCCAAGCCAGTCATTAGGGAAGCTCTGAGGACACACACTACCCTTTTGTGTTGTTTTAAAAGCAAACGAAGGTAAACTCTTTATGTCCATGTTTGGTTCTGGTTCCTTCATTTTCTGCTGCCTCCTCCCTAAAAAACAGCAATGACTAACAAACCTATGAGTGTTTTCCTATGGTCAACACACACACACACACACACACACACACGCACGCACGCACGCACGCGCACACGCACACGCACACACACACACACACACAACCTGCTCTCTCAAAATAAACTAAACTAATCTCCCTCACACACTCATTTGAAGCATATTGCACTTGAGAGAAGCTACTGTTCTCTCACACACACACACTCTGTCTCTCTCCGTGGTCTCATCCAGACTGGGAATACACTCCCAACCAAAGCCTCCACACAGTGGATTCTTTTAGCCGGACTGAGAGCAGGAACACAATCATGGTATTAGATCTTGACTGAGGCGCTGTGAGTCAGTCTGTTAGCAGTCTGGTAATGGGGGGGTCATATATCAGTTCTTGTGTTTTTTTCACTTTCACATAAAAAAACTCATAGATTTAGTATAATATAGTTTAGATGTGTCACGTGACACTCCCACCCCACGTCTAGAGCCGGTGTTTCCTGCAGAGTCTTGCTGCCTCATCTTCACCCTGAATAATGTTCAGACTTTTATCTAGTTCCTTTTTTTCTCCTGGACTGTTAATTTGTGATGTGTCAATGAGGGTTGCCATGTAACTCTGACCTCACCTTACTTCCGGCTGCTGAGATGTCATTTCCTTTTAGCTTCAAGCTGCTTCCTCAACCTTGGCTGCACAAACCACCCCACCTATCCACGCGGTTGCAGAGGAAAGGGGTCCCCCTGGTGGACAGAAATAAACTGCATGTGTGGTGAAATAGCCTCGCGCGGTTTTAAACGGTCTCTATTTATGTCATAGATTGCTTTTTGTTTGCATGTTTCAGATTAAGTACCACGAGGAGTTCGAGAAGAGGAAGGTGGGAGGAGATGCTCCACTTACACCGAGCAGCCCCAACCAAGGTATTCATCAGATCCTCACAGCGAACAAAGAGAATTAGAAAAGAATAAATAAGATTTAGCTACTAATTATTGAACTCCTGCAGAAGTGATTTAATCTTACAATCATAACTGTCATAAAAGCATGAAGAATTCAATATGAGGACTGCTGTAAAGACCCTGACACCCGTCAGTGACTTGATGCAATCTGCTGGTTCCTTATATAGGAAACTTTTACTGGTTGGTTTAATGAACTGACCTGTGTTGGATGTTTACTGTGGGAGGAGCCTTGAGACGACTCTCGTCGTGATTTGGCGCTATACAAATAGATTAATATGAAGTAAACAAAAACATCTAGTCAAGTCAGCCTAGTTCAGACCCAGAGACACGTGGATGATTAACATGAACAGCTGTGTTGCTACTTCAGTGTGAGCATCGCTTCTTAACGGAAAGGTTGAACGGTTGGTGGAGCGGCAGGTTTGTTGTTTAGAGGCTTGATTCTTTTACAGAGATTCAGTGTTTAGTGCAGCAGGGAGGGAAACAGCTTGTCTGGACTTGCTGTGTTTTTGAATTCCCTCCTCCATAAAAGAACCAGTGCACCGATACAAACGGGGATAGATATGTTGGAAATGCTCGCGGTGGTTTGGCTAATTAGAAATATATGAAGGCACATTTGTAGCAAAGTCCTTGCAGATCCTTGTTGGTCCTGTTTCACATTTGACTTTCAAAACAGTTGGTCTGATTTGTCTCTGCACTCCCTTCGCCAGGAGCTTACCAGTCTCCTGCAGCCTCTCAGAACTTCCACTTTGAGCCTGCTCCTGAACCAGTGCGCCAGGCAGCTGCTGCCCCTCCTCCCAGTTCTGGGGTAAGTTCTCACAGCCAGACTGCACAGATGAAGTAGCTCTAAGTTGATTTGTGACCACGGTGCTGTGCTGTCAGATGTGCATTTGTTTCAGGTTGTGCAAATGAGTGCACCATAGCTGTGGATCTCTACCCTCTCCCTCCTATCACTTTATGTCAGCCTAACCCCGGCTTTCCACAGGAGCCGTCAGCAGCACGTTACTGCAGCAGCACGTCATAGCTGCTGATAGGAACCGCTGTGGTCAACAGAACCTTTTCCACTGGAGCCGTCGGCAGCCGTCAGCAGCGCGAGTCGGCCGCGTCTCAGGAGCAGCATGTCGCGGCCTTTACGCGCCGGTTCTATTTTCTACGCGCGACGCCTCTGAAACGGGTCAAGTTCGACATTTTTTGGGAAGGAAAGACAGGAAATCGGACGCGGAAATGGAGAGGAGCTCCCGAGATTTTTGGAATAAAGAACGTAGTGCCTTCCGGTTGCTTTACTTTAAAAAAGGTTACTAACTGTGCGTCCCCGTGAGAAGTTATCACCTAGCTAGCGGTCTCCTTTGTTTTTCAGGTCCGTATTGGCGATTATAAAACAGACAGAACATAAAACACAAACCATGTTGTAGTTTTCTCCTGCTTGTTGTTGTGTTTACTGACGAAGTCACTCGTGTGACTTCGTGCTCTGTCGGTGACAGCTGCTCCCCTGCTGCTTCGCGTCTCGTGGGAAGGGCCAAGCAGCAGCTTACGCGAGCAAGACGTGCTGCTGCAGTAACGTGCTGCTGACGGCTCCCGTGGAAACCCGGGGTAACATCCACTCACTAAGCACTTCACTTTATCTTCTGGATTTGTCCACCGTGTATCACAGCAACTTCATGAATGTGTGTTTTTGCTCCTGATTCTGCATCTGGCTCATCTCGTTATAAAACCTGATTATGTCCTCGTTATTTTATTTCTTCCTGCATCACACTGACCAGCGTAACCATTACAGACCCGTCTACGAAGAACGTTTGCGTTAATGCGGCGTTTGTTCTAGAAGCTAAGCCGACCTTTGGTTGTTTTTGTCGACAGAAACGATACAGGGCAGTGTACGACTACGTTGCAGCCGATGACGACGAGGTGTCCTTCATGGATGGAGACGTGATCGTAGACGTTCAGCAGATCGACGAAGGCTGGATGTACGGTCGCGTGGAGCGCACGGGCCAGCAGGGCATGCTGCCTGCCAACTACGTGGAGGCCATCTGAGTGAGAGGGAAAGTAACGGAGGATTGAGGGAAGGAAGGGAAAGAATGAAAGGAAAAGCCCAGTGCCATCTCATCTTAACGCCACTTTCTCTTAATTTTATTCTCTAATCTATCCTGCGTGACCCTGAGTCCCTTCCCCCCCGCATCCTGCCCTGCTCTCGCCGTTCGCCAACCACACACACAAACTCTGTCTGTCTGCTTCTCTGTACAAGTCTGTCTTTGCTGATGTCTGTCTGTTTCCTGTTTGTTTCCCACACATCTCGAATCCACTTTAGTGCAAATGAAAATTGAAAGTTTTAAAGATGAACCCGTAACGGTTTGTTAGAGGGGTCTTACCCATGCCGCAGCTTCATCCTAGCTGCAGCGTGTAATCCTGACACGTCACGCATAAAGAATGAAAAATGCTAAATAAATCCCCCACAAGTCGGTCGAGCCTGCAGACTTTGTTCTGAGGAGATTACTGACCGTTTTGGCTCTTTTCTTTGATCTGAACCAGACTGGAAACCGTTGAATCTCAGTTAGTCAGAAATAAGCTTGGAGAATTGTTTCGACTTGTACATTCCTTTTAACCTCCAAGTCTTTTGCACCAGTCAGCCGCATATCAGCCGGAACAGAGACGATATATATATATATATAAACACATTTCGCCTTTATGTGCACAGAGTATCACTCTCATGTTCAGCACTGCCTTGTGGATAACGTGAAACTGGAATCGTGGCCCAACTGAAGAGCTCCTCCTTTCAGCGCCGCTCTCCGGCCTCCTGGACCCGGGAGGGATCAGGGACGAGTTGGGCGACACGACGAGTCTGATCTCCCGCGTCCACACTGACCTCACCACCTCAGTTAGTGTGCTTGCGCTGTGCTTTTTCCTGTTCCTGCAGCTCTCCGTCTTAAGAGAATCACCGTGATAAATGTTTGGAGAACTGGCCAAGTTCTTCCCCTCTGATGTAAAATCACCGACCTGTTTAAAAAGGAGACATCCCAGCACAGCTCTGTATTCCTTTAATTTTAAACTCGTTCCACTGTTTTTGTGCGAAAACATTCCATTTGTTTTTTCATCTAATGTGAGTGAAATAATTGAATCCTGTGCTGTGATAAATGTTTCTCACTGTTCTTATTTTTGCTTCCTTTCTTTTTAAAAACTTGCTTGTTTTCAAGAAATTCTCTATGTACTAATTAAATAAAGTAGTGACTGATTTGGACAAAATCTATGGGTAACGGATCAGTTGTGGTTTTAATCAGCATTTAGCTTGAGCCCAGATCAGAGCTGCTTAACTCGGTTAAATGGTCAAACAGACACGGCTAACCAGCTTCAGCAGCATTTTGCGGAGTCCATTTAAAGACCGTTAGTCAAATATGATTTTTTTTTAAATCTACCTCCAAATACCCATAATCCAGGGAGGTTTTAACAGATACAGGCTTGTTTTTCTGAGGTGTAAATAATGTTTCTGACTCCTGATCTAATGCTAATCCCGTTGTCATCACTGTCACTTTCTCATCGCAGACTGGAGTAAAAAGGTTGGATGGGGGGGGGGCATTTTTAGGAGAGGGCAGATGCAGGAGGGCCGAAACGTCCGGCTTCATCAGAGTAAACGAGGATCTTGTTCTGCAGCCAGATTACGTTGTATAATTGTATATGCATCACAAAGATAAGTTAGGGAGGAGCTAATCCGTCACGGTGCTCTGGGCAGCCACTCGCCTGCAGGTCAAAGCGGCTTGTAGTTTTTGTGAATGTGAAGAAATGAGTTTTAAAGAACGACTTATGGAAAAGCACATTTGGTGCAAGTGTTGAATATCAGTGCAACTTTCCATCTCCAGTGTGACGTTTCAGGTCGAATTGGCATCAAATCTGTAATCTGCCGCAATAACAGGACATTTAGAAGACAAACAGTTTGCCAAGCATACTTGTTTGTTTTGAGTAAACTGAGGAAATGGCTGTGAAATGATTTAGGCTCATGACAATTAGATGGTGACACTGGTAGCTTTCATCTATTTGCTGATTGCAACTTTCTTTTATGTCTAGTTGCTTTTTTTTTAAACTGGACAAAAAAAACATGGGCAACGACGGTGTGTTGCTGAAGTGTAGCTCGGGATGGATTTGCAAAGCGAGTGATGATGTAAGTGTGTAGGGCCGAGGGGAGACGGACGGACGTTTTCTATCTCCCAGCCTGTGAGGCCGGGGGATGAGTCATTTGCCTGACCTGGATGTTGGTCAGGAGTTAACCCGCACCAAATGCCACTCCTCCTCTCAGACATCACTACTGAATCGCAACCTCTTCCCTCAATCTAGTGTCCCATCCCTCCTCCCTGCTGCAGCCCCTTGTTTCTTCAGCCTTCATCGTAGGCTCCTGTGCTTCTCATCAGTCATTCCCTGCTTCTATCATAACTGGTTCTATACTGTAGACTTGGCAGAGTGAACCCCTATAATCCACAAATGCAGGTTTAGCTCTCAGACCAGTTTGGTGCATTCCATATTATAAAATGTTTTGTTTTTGATATGATTTTGTTCTTTTTTAATAAAGATATTCCTATTGTCATGTATTCAAAACTTGGAATACATTCTCCGATTGAGGACCTGGTATCATCTCCTGTTGCCCTGTTACAGCACTTCAAACTGTAAGATCCTGCAGATTCAATAAAATGTCATTTTTTCTCAGATGCCTGTTTGTGTTCATTTACAGGTGAAACTTGACAAATTAGAATATGGTGCAAAAGTTAATTTGTCAGTAATTCAACCTAGAAGGTGAAACTAACATAAAGAATAGACTCATTACATGCAAAGCCTGATATGTCAGCCTTTATTTATGATTGCGATGATTGTAGTTTACAGCTGGTAAGCTCACATTCAAAATCTCAGACAAATGGAATAAAAGGCTTCATATTCTAGAAAGTGTCACGCTCTAATCAGCTAATGAATCCAGAACACCTTAGCCCTTAGATGGTCTCTCAGTCTAAATTGGATTACTGAAATGAATGGACTTTTGTACCCTATTCTAATTTTCCCTGCTTCATGTTTGAGAAGCATGTGGTTTAACTGGTCAGATTACACTTTTTGGATCCATCTCATAAACTAGCCTGATGCTGCCAGACCTGTAGGACCAATAACTGACTTCCATAGAATTTGCCACGAAGTAAGTAAGTAAAAGTTTATATAGCGCCTTTCTCAGATATAAATCACAAAGCGCTGTACAACATGATAAAGATCAGGGCAAATACCTCTAACCAATAAAAACATCAGAAAAACAATAGCAGTGATAAATGTAGAAAATAAAATCATGAGTATAAACAAAGTGAAGGTGTGAACCCGAACAAAGCCATCTTTTGGAAACATTTAGGGAGGGAACGCCTGGATGAAAAGGTGAGTTTTTAGATGATTTTTAAAGACCTCTACAGTGTTAGAGAGACAGAGATTTGAAGGTAGACTGTTCCAAAGTCTGGGGGCAATAGACTGAAAGGCCCTGTCCCCTTTGGTTTTCAGTCTGGTTCGAGGAACAGCCAGGAGGTTTTCAGATGTGGATCTAAGGTTCCGAGAGGTGGTGTGTGGGGATAAAAGCTCAGATAGGTAGCTTGGAGCCTGGTTGTTAAGAGCTCTATAGGTCAGGACTAAAACTTTAAAATGTATTCTATATTCTACCGGGAGCCAGTGGAGGGACTGTAAAACTGGAGTGATGTGAGCTCATCTGCTGGATTTGGTTAGGAGTCTGGCTGCTGCATTTTGGATGGCTTGAAGGCGTGAGAGGGACGTTTTGCTGAGACCAGTAAAAAGAGCGTTACAGTAGTCTAAGCGTGATGACACAAAGGCATGGATGATTTTTTCCAGATCTGCAGTAGAAACCAGTTTACGGACTTTTGAAATGTTTCTCAGTTGAAAGAAGCGGGAGATGGTTTTGACGTGTGAGTCTAAACTTAAAGCTGGATCAAAAATAACTCCTAGGTTTCTAATGTTGGCCTTGGCTGATGGGCAAAAAGAGGCAATTTCTTGCTCGATTTTAGGCTGAAGTTCCGGGGGTGCAGCGATCAGGGTCTCTGTCTTGTTAGCATTGAGGACAAGAAAGTTGCTGGACAGCCAGTTACTGATCTGGGTCAGGCAGAGTACAAGTGTGGCCAGCCTGTCCAACTGGTGTGGCATAAAGGACATATAGAGCTGAATATCATCAGCGTAGATGTGGTAGGAGATGTCTGGAAAAGACTGAATGATGCCAGCTAGGGGAAGAATATAGAATGCAAATAGTAGAGGCCCTAGAACTGAACCTTGTGGGACCCCGCATGTTAGAGAGGCAGTATCTGTAGAGAAGAATTCAGACTTCACTGTGAATGTTCTGTTAGTGAGATAGGAAGAGAGCCAGTCTAGAGCAGAACCTGAAATCCCAGCCAGGGCCTTTAACCTGTTTAGTAGAACGTTGTGGTCTACAGTGTCAAAAGCTGCACTGAGGTCTAGCAGGACCATGACAGAGCATTTCCCTGCATCAGCAGCCATCAGGAGGTCATTATGCACCCTTACTAGAGCAGTCTCAGTTGAGTGCTGCTTCAGAAAGCCAGACTGGAAGGGGTCAGAGATCTTTGACTTAGAAAACCAGGATCTGAGTTTGGTTTCAACAACCTTCTCAAGTACTTTGCTGATGAAAGGTAGCTTAGAAATGGGCCTAAAGTTACTGGTGGAGCTGGTGTCAAGGTTGGGTTTCTTTAAGAGAGGAGTCACTACTGCATTTTTAAAGTAAGATGGAACACAGCCTTGGCTCAGTGAGCTGTTGATTATAGTCAACAGAGATGGACTGATGACGTCAAGGGACCCGACTAAAACAGAGGGAGTTAAGACATCTGATGAGCATGATGAGAGTTTCATCTGACTGATTATTGTGGTTAAGTCATTTAGTGTAATTGGGGAGAAGGAGGTGAAAGACTCGGAGCACTGGGGGGCCTCCCCTTCTGAGGGGGCGAGGGCTGGTGGAATGCTGGATCTCAGATTCAGCACCTTGTTTTAAAAAAAGTGGAGAAAGGTGTTACAGTCATCAGCTGAAGATAGCTGAGCCTGCTGCGGAAGAGAAGACACGATGCTGGAGATGGTATCAAACAAAACCTTAGGATTATTCTTATTTTGGCATATGAGGTTGTTGAAGAAAGAACTGGCATTTTCTACAGCTTCGTTGTATGACTCGAGAAGTTCTTTAAAATATTCACGATGAACAACCAGACCTGTCACAAAGTACACAAAAGGATTCTAGAAGCACCACATTAAAGAGCAAGTCACCCCCAAATAAACTTTTTTTGCTGGTAAACTAAATAAATGAGTGTCTAATCGTGCTGCAGACACGTATCGTCAATAATTTGGCACTTCAGTGCGTCTTAGTTCAAATTTAAATATTCTGCCTAAAACTGGCAGTGTTGTGCCGTTGTCAGGTAAAAACTCTGCACTGTACTTTAATTTAAATCTGCCACCGCTATTGGCTAAGAGGTATGCTATGATGTAAACTGGTACATTATGATGTCACAATGCTGTCGTGAGCCTGTGTGTGTGTATTTGTTAGCAGCTCCGCCCTCTCGGTCTGCCAGGCAACAGCATTTGTTGCGTTTTTCAAACATGAAGTGGGAGTGGAGTTAGAATCTGGTAGGGGTTGACTTGCTCTTTAAGGTCCGAGGTCAGGATTTAACAGTGAGAATGAGATGGATCAAAAAGGAATCAACGGCTCATCTCACGTTCATCAAAATACATCTAGGTGATCCCCAAGGCCTCAGGAAAATGTTCTGCAGACTGATGAGACTAAAGTGGAACCTTCAGGAGTGTGTTCCATTGCATCTTGAGTAGACCTAACAATACAGTTCAGAAACACACAATCATACAGTCAGACATGATGCGACTTTGCCGCTTCAGCACCTGAACCGCTTAGAGGCAGGACTTCTGCTGTCCAGCAGGTCATCCTGAAGGCCGCCAGTGTTGGGTCTGCCAGCCGTGGTGATCTCTGGCAACTCACAGTTCAGCTCCATGGTGCTGGGCCCATGTGGGCCCTACGCAGGGCTACTCTAGAAGATGTCAGCCCCTCAGAATGGTTTGTCAGACAATCGTAACAGCTGTCCGTTGGAGGTCCTTTTCTGGGGGTTCTGGGGGGTACAAATCCACCAGGTGGCGCTACAACATTGAACACCAATTGGTTTAATCACACGCGCGCGCGCATGCAGTTGTGGCGTTTGTTTCCTCGTTGGTTGAAAGTGGGCGGGGACTCGGTCCGAGTTCCGTCCGAACTCTTCCGATGTTGTCCGATCTCTTGCAGCTGCTGTTCGTGCGCCTCCCGTCCTCCGCTCATCTCCTCCTTTACCATCATGGTGGACATTTTGGTGTTGATGTTCTTCGCCATCATGGCTCTGGTTTTCCTCTCCTATCTCATCTACGTGCTGTGATGAAGAGGCCTCACCGGCCGCCCGGCCCACCGTGGACCATGAGCTGGTGCGTCATAATAAGCCCGTCTGCATCTGAACACAACGGGAGTTTGGCTTTGATGTTCTGAATCTGTTCCAGAGAGAAGACTCCCTCCCGGGCTGTGACGTCTCCTCCTGCAGCTCTAGGTGGAATTTAAGGAAATCCAGAAGGAAACAAAAGGAGATTTCTTCATTCCTTCCTCTTCCTCTTCATCATCTTCATCCATCAGCCTGGACAATCTCCTCCAACTGAATCCTCTCATCACCAGGCACAAATCCATAGTTATGAACACAGCTGATTGTTAATGCAGGTGCAGGATTTGTTTTATTTATGTCACTGTGTTATTATTTAAGGCTCCCCTTCTATTTCAGGGATTTCTTCTTCTTGTTTGCTCCACCTCCACGTTTCTCCTCCCAACAGAGAAAATCCAGAACAAAAACTAGTTCTGACCTGTGTGGGGAAAAGGAAACACTGTTTCTTTGCTTTCTATTTTCAGCATGTCGTGTTTACAGATGCACTGACAATTTGATGAAATGCATTTTGAATCACGTATCAAATAAAATGATCCCAGAAAACCAAAATGTATTGTTTTAATTTGGACCAAAAATGAATTCATAGTTTTGTGTCACTGTCCTAACCAGGACCTAACACAAGAGGCTCTAAGGAAACTACTGAAGTATCTAATGATGCTGACTGAAAAACCTTGGGCAGAGGTTAAATATTCAGATATATTTTACATTTTTAGAGCCACAGAGGGCTTTTTACACCTTTTCTCAAATTCAATGACTCATGCTATGTTTGAACTTGTTTGTTAGTTGGTTGGTTTATCAGTAAAGTTCCTTATTCAAATGTGTTTTATGTTTATTTGTTTGATTGTTGTCATTCTGGTGTTGAGAGCAGCCAACAAATGATGTGTTCGTGCTGCAAGTGGAGCTGTTGAGTTATAGCCATAGCTGGTCCCAGTCCAGGTGATCCGTCCATCCGTCCATCCATCCATCCATCCATCCATCCACCCATTCATCCATCCATCTATCCATCCATTTTCTTCCACTTATCCAAAGTCGGGTCACGGAGGCAGCAGCCTAAGACCCAGCCACTCGGGCCAAGTGTTCCCTAGATGGGAGACAGTCCCTCCAACGTGTCCAGTCCAGGTGAGATGAGGTTTTAATTAGGTATGAAGACAGCTTTGTGGTTTCTCTTTGACAGTCATAAAATAATCATCTTTTATTTACTTAAATCTTTAT